GAGCAGGGAGCCCGATGCGGGACTCGATCCCGGGACTCCAGGATCATGACCTGAGCCGAAGGCAGTCGCTTAACCAACTGAGCCACCCAGGCGCCCTGAATTAGTGCTTTTATGAAAAGAAACAAGAGAGAGGATTGCTGTCTGCCATGTGGTGATTCAGCATAGACCGCCATCTTGAAACTAGGAAATTTGCCTTCACCAAATTTGGAATCTGCCAGTGCCTTGATTTCCAGCCTCCAAAACTATGAGAAATACATTTCTGGGGTTGAAACCATCGGGTCTATGGTATGGTTATAGCAGACTGAACTAAAAGAATTACATTAGTATGGGAAAGGCTCTTAACTTTTGTTTTCTCTTTTATTAACCTAGGACAGTTAGTCTACCTGCCTTCAACCCTCTCTGAAGGGACTTTTTTAATGCCTAGAAAAAATAAGGTTTTAATCCATTGGTAAGTATTCTTGACCTTCAAAGTTGTTAAAAAATAAATAGGCCACCACTAAGAGAGAAAAAAGTGTTTATTCTTCAAGTCTTTGAGAAAAATATGACATTTTACTTTGCTTAAATTCATATATTCATGCACACACATAAATTTATGATGTAAAGATTTTAAACCTTAGATTGTTTATTGTCAGCCAAGTGATCTTACCCGGTAAAAAATGTTCTAATAATGAGGCTAATGAAACTAAGATTGGCTCCAAAATCCAAGTTCATTTTACTGCTTCTTAAAATGTCAGATACAATGCTTTTTTATTAGGGTCATAGGAATATGCACAATAGTTTTAAGATAATGCAACTGGAGATTAAACTTAATCTGATTTTTCATTCAAAAGCAGTTAAAAAGCAATTTGCTCTAGGTTATAAAATCAAGTATTATTGTTGCAGGGAAAAGTGAACCAGGTTAAGAGCTATTTTAACATGATTTCAGTGGAAAGGCTCCAACCAGCCCTCATCTGAATAAAAAAAAAAAAAACTGGAAATAAACTTCAGATTTCCTGAAAAACTAGTTAAACAGACAGCAAAGCAACTTGCCTTGGTTGAGCCACTCAGGAATTGTGTAACCTTGCAAAATGTTATGAATATCTCTAACTTTCGGTCTTATAATTTAAGAGAGAAAAGTAATAACTATCTGATCACATAAAATATTTCAATATAAACAACATCTCGTCATTAACTTAGGTCTATCTTAGATATTGGAGTTAATGGGGGAGGAGTTATTTTAATAAGAGAATTTCTTACAGACAAATACACTAACGTAAACAGTCCAGGAAATAATCACATTTTCTTTCATATTTTTTTTTTTTTTAAGATTTTATTTATTTGTCAGAGAGAGAGAGAGAGCACAAGCAGAGGGAGAAGCAGGTTCCCTACTGAGCAAGGAGCCCGACGTGGGACTCGATCCCAAGACGCCGGGATCATGACCTGAGCCAAAGGAGAAGGCTTAACTGACTGAGCCACACAGGCGTCCTTCCAATCACGTTCTCTCTGAGGTTTCTTACCCAGTAGGATAATGATGCAGAGGAGGATGGCGATGAGCGCTCCCGTGCTGAGGCCCGCGGGGAGGAGCAAGGCTTCGGCACTGCAGGACTGCATGTTACCTTGGCTGTCACAGGTGCACACTCGGATGCTCAAAGTACCCGTGCTGCTCTGAATCGGGTAGTCATTGTCTGATATCACCACAGGCAAGAGATAGGTACTTATTTCGTGTCTATTGAATCCATTTTTTCTGGTTAAAATCCGGGCAGTATTATCTAAAATAAATTTTAACATATTACAGATGGCTTGGGACCGTAAGTTTCTCTCATCCTGCTCACCAAGGCTTGACAGTACAAGAGATGTTTATGTAAAATATTAAATGAAGATCAATTTTCCTGTAACATGCCTACAATGCAATATTTGAAAATACAGGTAAGATAAATTAATTTGAGGAGTCTCTGATTATGATTGCTTATTTGACAGGTTTCTAACTTTTTCACAGATAATGCTTTAAGATGGTGAATTTTTATAAGTGGACATTTTACCAGGACTGTGAGGATAATGGCATATTGTTTTTCAGAGTTTTCAGAAAATATAAATAAGCATACCAAGAAAAAATCATAGTAAATTGTTTTTATTTGTATATGCATATATGTTTATACATATGCACACACATACACAGAGAAAACACACATTAATCCAATACTCATGAAGAAAAATATGAATGAGTAAATTTTACGTGTAGTTGCACTTTTAAAATCAATCATTCACTCAAAACCATTCAAGAGTCACAATATATGAACAGTGGTGAACAAGTTTCTTTCTTTCTTTCTTTCTTTCTTTCTTTCTTTCTTTCTTTCTTTCTTTCCTTCTTCCTTTTTTTCTTTCTTTTTTCTTCCTTTTTTTCTTTCTTTCAAAGATTTTATTTATTTATTTATTTATTTATTTATTTACTTCAGATTGAAAGAGAGAGTGTGAGCAGGGGGAGGGGCAGAGGGAGAGGAAAGAGAGAGAATCCCAAGCAGACTCCACATTGAGCACAGAGCCCAATGCAGGGCTCGATCCCACAACTCTCAGATCATGACCTGAGCTTAAATCAAGCATAGGATGCTCAACCAACTGAGCTACCCTGGTGCCCCAGCAAGTTATTTAATGTTTCTGAACTTTGATTTCTCCCCATTGAAATGAATACAATCTATAACTCAAAGTATTGGTGGATGACTATTGATATGGATTACTTAATAAATGCACAGGCAGATGTAAGGATTTAATAAACCCAAGCATCCTACTAACTAATATATTGCTACAGATATTTTTTTTAATCTGATAACACCCAGTATCCTTAAATGGAGGTTGTGCTTTTAATAAAAAAGATTTCACCTAACCCTTATAATCAATATTTAGATTTTTTCTTTTAATTTATTTATTTGACAGAAAAAGAGAGTGAGAGAGTGAGCAAGCAGGGGGAGCAGGAGAGGGAGAAGTAGGCTTCCCACTGAGCAGGGAGCCCGATGCAGGGCTTGATCCCAGGACTCTGGCGCTCAGTCGCTTAACCGACTGAGCCATCCAGGCGCCCCTATAATATTTTTTTAAAAATCAATATGTACTTGGATGACAATTTCTTATTCTGTTTGTCCAATGCACTTAGTCTTCTTTAGCCAATCCCATAAGCCTGTTCAAAATGCTAATGTAGGGAAGGGAGTGAGTCAGCCAATTGCTAAATCAAATAGGACAAGGAAAAAAAAAAAGGTGAACATTTCTGGCAGGTATAGTGGTTGAACATAAAGCAGTAATCTCCTAAATTATTAGTAAGAAGTTATTTCTACTACATCAGTTAACTATAAAAGATAGGAAAGAAGATTAGCAAAATAGACGATGTACACAAGCAAATTTAAAAAATAAATTTAGTCCGATAATTTTTCAAATTTGACTTATCTTCCAAAAAGTATTAGGATATAATTCTTCCATTCTCTAACTTACACTAAAATAAATATTTATATGCATATGGGTATATATTTTTTCCTATTTTCTTTTTCTTAAGTTTTTATTTATATGTTAGTTAACATACAGTGTAATATTAATTTCAGGTGTAGAATTTAGTAATTCATCACTTCCATACAATATCTGGTGCCCCTCATAAGTTCACTCCTTAATCCCTATCACCTATTTTACCTGTTCACCCACCTCCCCTCTGATAACCATCAGTTTGTTCTCTGTGGTAAAAGTTTATTTCTTGGTTATTTCTTGGTTTGCCTCTCTTTCTCTCTTTTTCCCTTTACTCCTTTGCTTTGTTTCTTGAATTCCACATATGAATGAAATCATATAGTATTTGTCTTTCTCTACCTGGCTTATTTAGCATAATACTCTGGAGCTCCACCCATGTCATTGCAAATGGCCAAGATTTCATTCTTGGAATATTATTCCATTTTATATATATACCATTTTATATATATTCCATTTTGTATATATACCACCTCTTCTTTACCCATTCATCAGTTGATGGATACTAGCGCTGTTTCCACAATTTGGCTATTGTAGATAACGCTGCTATAAACATTAGGGTGCATCCCTTTGAATTAGTATTTTTGTATTCTTTGGGTAAATACCTAGTAGTGCAATTGCTATATCGTAGGATACTTCTATTTTTAACTTTTTCAGGAACCTCCATACTGTTTTCCAGAGTGGCTCCACCAACCTGCATTCCCACTAATAGTGCAATAGGGTTCCCCTTTCTCCACATCCTCAGTCAACACTCATTCATGATAAAAACCCTCAACAAGGTAGGTTTAGAGGGAACATACCTCAACATCATAAAGACCATATATGAAAAACCCACAACTAATATCATCCTTAATGGGGAAAAACAGTACTTTTTATCTATGGTCAAGAATAAGACAGGGATGTCCACTCTTGCCATTGTTATTTAACATAGTACTGGAAGTCTGAGCCTCAGCAATCAGACAACTAAAAGAAATAAAAGGCCTCCAAATCGATAAGGAAGAAGTAAAATTTTCACTATTTGCAGATGACATGATACTCTATATGGATAACCCAAGAGACTCCAGCAAAAAACCACTAGAACTGATAATGGAATTTAGTAAAGTTGCAGGATACAAAATCAATGTACAGAAATCTGTTGCATTTCTATATACCAATAATGAAAAAGAAATTAAGGAATCAACCCTCAAAAATCATAAGATACCTAGGAATAAACCTAACCAAAGAGATGAAAGACCTCTACTCTGAGAAGTATAAAACACTGTTAAAAGAAATTGAAGATGACACAAAGAAATGGAAAGACACTCCATGCTCCTGGATTGGAAGAGCAAATATTGTTAAAATGTCTACAGCACCCAAAACAATCTGCACATTTAATACAATCCCTATCAAAATACCACCCGCATTTTTCCACAACTAGAACAAACAATCCTAAAATTTGTATGGAACCACAAAAGACCCCAAATAGCTAAAGCAACCTTGAAAAAGCAAAGCAAATCTGGATGCATCATAATTCTGGACTTCAACTTATATTACAAAAGCTATAGTGATCTAAACAGTATGGCACAAAAACAGACATATAGATCAATAGAACAGAATAGAAAACCCAGAAATGAACCCACAACTATATGGTCAACTAATGTTCAACAAAGCAGTAAAGAACATCCAATGGGAAAAAGACAGTCTCTTCAACAAATGGTGTTGGAAAAACTGGACAGCAAAATGCAAAAGAATGAAATTGCATTTTTTTTATGTCAAGCACAAAAATAAATTCAAAATGGACTAAAGACCTAAATGACCTAAATGTTAGTTAGACCTGAAACGATAAAAATCCTAGAGGAGAACATAGGCAGTAACCTCTTTGACACTGGCCATAGCAACTTCCTTTTAGATACATCTCCTGAGGCCAAGGAAACAAAAGCAAAGAAAAACTATTGGGACTTCATTAAAATTAAAAGCTTCTACACAGCGAAAAGAAACAGTCAACAAAACTAAAAGGCTATCTAAGGAATGGGAAAATATATTTGCAAATGACGTATCTAATAAAGGGTTAGTATCTAAAATATATAAAGAATTTATAAAACTCAACATCCAAGAAACAAATAACCCTCCAAAACAAAAACAAAAAACAAATAATCTAATTAAAAAGTTGGCAGAAGATATGAATAGACATTGTTCCAAAGGAAACATACAGATGGCCAACAGATACATGAAAAGGTGCTCAATATCACTGATCATCAGGAAAATACAATTCAAAACTATAATGAGATATCACCTCACACCTGTCAGAATGACTAAAATCAACAACACAAGAAACAACAGATGTTGGTATATGGGTATATTTAGAAACTTCTTGCCTTATTCTTTTTTAACTTTTCAAAAGGCTTTAAATCTTAATCTTGTCTACAATACTTTTAATATATTGAAGAATAAAACGAAGCTATACCCTTAACTAACCATTCTATTCAAATCATTTTATTAAATATTCAGAAAGTCATCATACAGTTAGACTTTTGACCTATAAGTTAGTGAAAAGCATGGGAATCTTAAGAATCAAAAGCTCCAAGTGTGGTATCACAGAAGCAGGAAATTAATTTTAAAAAATGATACCATAAAATTAAAGTTTTCTAAGATGAACATGTAGAGAAACACAAGGGCATTTCCTCAAGAAGAGCAATAAGGTGATGTCTATGTCATTTGATTTTCTTTTCAAAATGCACTCAATAACGAAATAGTGAGTTTATGCACTCTGGAATAATGAGTTTTGGAATACTGAGTTTATTCCATCTGACTTTAGTGGTATTCTATATAGTGACATGTTCAAATTTATATTCATAGGGCTTCAACTCTTGCTTTGAGTAACTCATATAAGATCAGGAACTCTTCTGAATATAGGAAGATGGCACTACTTATCAAAAATTAATTAAGATTAGCCTTGAGGTGCTTACCTAGTAACTGTGAAATGCTGTGATAACACTGTTTCAAGTCTCTACTGCTTTTTAAAATTGAGACGTGGTTTGTTGGGGTCCAGTTTAACAAAAATATAAAACAAAATGCACTTAGAAAGCGGTATAATATTGTCAAATCAGTACGAAGGATGTCTAATCTAAGTTCTATATTTAGGACGCCAGATTCAGCAAATAAAATGATGGGTGTTGTTTTGCTGATAATCAGATGAAACTAGACATCTTGTATCTTATCTACCAACTCTATGAGAATTTTTCGCATCGTAGTTTTTTAGATGTTCAGAGGGATGGAAAAGAGACATTTCAGAAACTACGATTTAGTATACAGATGTTACAAGTGGATGCCCTCTTTTCAACTGATTTGTGCAGTTTTCCACCATATCAAATACCTCAAACAGTAATTGGGTTAATGTAAAACTATCTGTTATCTTAAACTTCTTTCTGATATTCTGAAAGACACCTAGAGGTGATATAGCAATCTAGCTCTGCCAGTGGATATACATTGTTATGAAGGTATTATAAATATGTCAATGTAGTTATTAAATGCATTTTAAGAATAACTATATCTACCCTCACTCTAAGACAAGTATGCCTTTTTTACAAAAGATCCACTGATATAATTAGTTTAACATAAATTTATTAAGGGGAAACAGCTCTAACTATACACTTTTCTTTAGAATAATTACCATATATATTTTTCAAAGAATAAAGCTGTTCAGCTTTTTCAAAATAGTAAGCATTTTCATATTTTTTTCCTCTAAAATACGTTTTTGCCCTCTTTGGGAATGCAAGAAATATAATTTCAGTATCTTTTATCACAGAGACATTATAAAATTTACATATTGCACAGAAGAACAGTGTATCTTGCCCTGGCAACTGCTTTTGCACTTAAACCCCTCACAGACTAATATGGATATTTCTTCTCACCCATATTCCATGCCTTTTTGGCTTTGGTGAATCTGTTGCTGCTAAATCTCATTGAAATTTGCACAAGGGTCTCACTGAATCATTCATTTCTCTACCCAGTGTGTCTGATTATTTCCAGCCTTTCTAATGTTTTCAAGATTCAGTCTTTTCATTAGTACTCATATTGAAATTTCTCTCACATCTTTATTATTTTGCAATTTAAGAGAATGAACAGTATATCTTATTAATATATAAAGAAGCAAGAAATTAATATCTCATTAAATATCTGATGAAAACAACATTTTGTAACACAGATCAATAAATTAATACATATAGCAATTGTTACTTTGGAGAACAGCTCTTGCTAATGTCACCTGAAATCATAATGACAGCATTCTAAAATTTACCTTCATTATCCTGTACTGTGAAGTTTGGATTGACAGCAGCTAAACTGAAGAAAAATTTCTGTCCACCTAAGGGGTCATCTTTGTCTACTGCGCTTATAGTCTGTATTAGCTGCAAAAAAGAGAAAAATGCATATTTATCAAACTTCTGAGGGTATAATCTGCTTTACAATATGTAATTTTTTAACATTCAATTTTGTCTAAATTTAAAGGCAGTTGATTTTCTTTCTTGTGCATGTATCTTTATTTTATTCCATCTTTTTTATTATTACTTTGACTTTAACAAAGTCTCTCTTTCTTTCCCTCCCTCCCTCTCTGCTTCTCTCTGTCTCTGTTCCTTTCTCTCCCTCCTTCTCAATTTCTCCTACATATTATCCATTGCTTCAAAATAATAAATGACAATATCATATTCTTTGCAGTCTTATTAATTTAGATACAGCATTTGACATGAATAGGTTATTTCATATATATTTAAACATTGATCTGGAAAAGTTTATCTAATGGAGGAAAAATTTAGAAAACTATTGTGATTATGACTTTCCTCTTTATCAAAAGTGAAAACTATTCAAAGAATGGACAGATTTTATAGATAATACTATGCAAAACTTTTTAAAGGAAAGACTTGAGGATTATTATCTACTTTAATAGTAATGGTTCACTTTACTTGCATTGTCAATAAAATTAATTTTTTTAATTCACTATATGTATACCATGGGAAATGGTTATTTTATAAAGATCATCTCTGATTTATTTTAGGGTAAGAGACAATATAAGAAGCTATCTGGGAACAAAGCATAAAATGTAACACCTTTTACTATAATCAGATCACTTCTTTGAACATACATGATCAATATTATACAAATATATATGTAACATACGGCTGTGTACTTTTTTGCATATATATCCAATTTGTCCTTAACTTATATGTATAACAACATTTTATATAATTTTTTGCATATCTTAATATTGCAAGAGAGCTTCAGAAGTTGTTCAATTTGTATACCTATATAAATGGCCAAATTTATGCTTAACTAAAAGGAATATGCTTTACTGCTTTGACTTATTTAACAGGGTGTGGATATTTGATGAAAATATTTGTTACTGATGTTTTGTTGATATAAAAAGAGATTTCAAGTTTAAAATATTACATAATTATAAAAAAATTAAGGAGTTATTTTAACTCTTCTGTATTCAATTAGTTTTCTTTTAAATTACCTTATAAAAATAAAAATGTGACAAATTTTAGCTACTCCCTGTTTAATTACAACTTTAACCACTTATTTCAAAATAATACAAGAAATATAATTGGATCAAACAAAGATAAATGTTTATCCTCTAGGAATAAGTAGCCCAAAAAATCATTTAAACTTTGAATAATCTTAAAGTATATTTTAAAATGTAACATAACTATTTAATGAAATTTTAGAGGTAATTTAAGATTAAATAGAAAGCAAGGATTTATTGCTAATGGCTTACCCATCCAATACAAAACCAAAAATGGTGCATATGTGAAGGAATTAAAGAGAAAAATGTATAAAAAGTGTTTGCTAATGCCCTTTAAGAGGTATCAATTCAGTTACAAAATCATTCTTGACTGACTTGTTTGTCGAGCAGTCTAAAATATTTTTATTTTTAAATAGTGATTTATAAGAATAAATTGAAGGGAAAAATGACAAATGAAACAACATCAAGAAGGGTAGAAGACTTAATAAAACTTCTATGTTTATATATATATATCATTAAGATTAATATGTCAGTATATATATAGATAAAAATGAAAGAAATTTAAAAGTAGAGCTAATGGTCTTTTAAAAAATATAATGTCTCAAAATAAATATGCATTTTCAACTGTGATTACAAATTACAATTTCAGTTTATTTTTATGAACCAAAATAATACATTTCAGAGAACAAAATGGCCACATCTTTGCATATATCTATAAGAAGTTATAATGGTTTACACAAAAATTCTTAATTAAAATGTTATTTGAATAAAAGATTATAGCATTGTTGGTTTCAAAATTAGTGATTCACTGATATATTTTCTTTAAGTGTTGTAAAAGAAATAAACCCTGCATTGTTCAAGAATCAAGTATATTTTGTTTTGGTATATGTTTGTTTATTTGTTTTGGTATATATATCACATACATATGGGTATGTACATATATACATATGTACATATACCATATACATGTAAGTATGTGTTAAAATAGAAATCAGAAGTTGGCAACATGAAGGAGATAAAACCACCTCCCTGGTCTCTCTATATAAGCACTCGCTATTTTATTACTACTGGACACAAGTTCATTTTGATTCATTTCCAATAAAATAAGTTGCCACAATTATGGAGGAAAAAAAAAAAACACTGGTGATGTCCAGTATTCATTTTGAGCATATGAAGAATAGACCCAGATAAGTCATTTATATTTTATCTTCTTAGCTGTTACATAATTGGTTCATATTTTTACTAGGCTCTTCTAAAATAATCTCAAATCAACTTGAGGGCTTTTTCAGTGATGTTACCATGATGGAATGTGGGATGACAAATGGATTTTGAGATATTTAAGTAAGAAAACTGGTCACTAAGTTTTAATGCTTTAGGTTTTGCAGTGGGAAGAGTAGCAGTTAGGTAAGTAACTCCACATTGTTCCATGGAATTATGTAAAGGGATATTTGGGGTCTGACAAAGGCCTAGAGCTTAGATACTATCTTCAGGTAAATACAAGCAGCAGTCCTCCCTGGGGAGATTCTCTGGGAAATCTGTGAGACTGAAATACTATTTCCTTCCCATAAAGATTAAAAATTATTAAAATATGCTTTATTGACTGAAGGAGTGAGGCATGCATGATGGAAAATGAAAGAAAAATGAAACAGCCAGTCTTCTCTCCTCTCCTTTCCCAAGGGACTCTTTCTGAGGTGGAAAAGATGGGGAGTAAGGTAGCCTAGTTCAGGCACAAGAGGTGACTGTTAATTTACATCAATTTTAAGTTGCATCTTTTCCAAGGAGGAAAGTCTTCTACCTTTAGAGAAGGGAAGAGGCAGAAAAGGAAGAGGGGATGGCAATTAACTTTATCTGTCCTCTCATTTTGTCCATACAAATAGATGGAATCATTTCCTATGTCCTTGTTCGAAGTGCTACTTTATTTATTTATTTATTTTATTATGTTCAGTGCTGTTTTAAAACAGTACTTAATTCAGAGGAGAATTGCGTGGCTTGAAATACTCTATAAATAACTAAATTACACCCAGAAGTCCTAACAAGCTCCTACTTTCCTAGAAGGAGGGGAGACAAGAGTTAACAAATAAATCTCAAGGAAGGTTCAGTGAAGGACTTTTCCAAATAACCACCTTGGTTTTGCCTGCTGGGCTGCTGTAATCTAGAATTCCATCACTGAGTACATAACAGTTTAGTTTAAGCGACCATTTATCAGCCAAGAGACCAAAATGACATTTAACAAACTGATCTTATTAAAAATAGCTACTATGGGAGGCTATTGCACATTCAGCCAATTAGACAAAAATTACTAATCATGTTATTCCTATCAAGTTTGTCAAAAGGCTACTTTTTAAATTAAAATTGTCTTTGATTTTATTATTTTCCTGCAATATGCCAACTGGTTTTTAAAATCCAAAAAATATAAAGTTACTGAACCAGATTTAGTTTAGTTTCTTTTTTTTTTTTTTTTAAAGAGGCATAAGGAAAAAAAAAAACACAATCCCTTATTTGGTATATTGTGAATACATTTGGAAATCAGTATTTAAAATGACTCAAATGCTCTGAAAAGATATCTCTTGAAAATCAAATAGAATAACCATAGAGGAAGCTATGCATGCGGCAGTTGTAAAGCGGGTAATTTATCTCTTAGAGAAAAGGCTTCAACTTATATCATGCTGAGCCCGCCAAGCAGAGGACTATTTGGAATGGTATTTTCAGGGCAAACAAGGTTTCATTAGGAAGTAGGTCGGAAGTTGCTTTGTCATTTAAATATTCCAAATTAAACATTTCCATAACATTTTCAAATAAAAAAAAATGAATCCAATTGCAGCAATTTCTCCATTTCAAACAATAGACAGGCTATTGAATTCCTGCTAGAATCTTCAGAAGGAAGAATTTGTGTTATCCCACAATGCAATTTGCATAAAAATGTAACGACGACATTGATGTTTATAAAGAGCATCAAATGATGTCAAAACACAATGCAGTTTTGTGATGGCTACTCTTTCTTTAATAAAACACATTTGATTCCCAATTATTATTTATAACATGCAGCTTCTTTCTGTGAAGATAGCACTCAAACCAATTACGAACATTTCTTTCAGCCATATACACTGGAGCTTTTCAAACAACAAAATGAGTCCACTGAGGAAAAGACTTAAAGAGTTGTAAACAAAGCTGATGTAGGAAGAATGTTTTAAAGGACAAAACCTAAGTCATTAAGCACTCTAAGTGTTGCTATAATGATGAAATACAAGTATAAATTTAAGGAGTGAATCCTGTGGCCCTGCTTTGAAATCATTTGCATACATTGGAATATTGATGCACTCTTTCACTGATCCATTGAATCTGTTGCCGTGTTTCTCCTAACTTCCATCTCCCATCTCTTCTAGCAGGTATCAATATTTACCTAGAGAAACAGCAGAGGTTTGTTTCCAACCCCCCCCGGTATTGTTTGTGAAAATTTAAAAAGTGAAAGTTATTTCTTCTTATGCCTTAATTTTTGTGGCAACAATAAAATCTTATATTTTCATTAGAACTTCACAAAAGAAATGTGAGACATGCTACAGTGTCATTTAGAACCCTAAAAATATCAGCCTTTTTTTTTTTTAATTATATTACTGGGACTTACATGAGCATTTTTATCTCTGTTTACTTGTTCTTCTTAAGATTGGGAAAAGAAATCATTTAACAAGCTGTTAAAATTTTCCAAAGGTTTTAAGTCCTATGGGTGCTCACCTGCCCTGGTCTCGCGTTTTCACATACAAAAGTATCATAGAACACAGCAAATTGTGGGGCATTGTCGTTAACATCCAAAATCCTCACAAAAACAGCCACGCGAGTCATCTCTTTGGGATTGTCTAGAAAAGGCAAAGGAAAAATTTGTTTAGGAAGACACATTTGTGCACCAGATTTCATTTATATAAGCATCTTGTGGATATTAAGTGCTCACATAAAAATAAGCATCGCGTTCATTCTGCCAACATAATGAGCAAATACAATAAAGAAAATTACTACAGAGTCTAATTAAGTAGTTATAAATTCAGTTATTATTGGCCTCCAGAGAACTACTATTATTTTGGAAAATCTTCTTAAAATAAGAGCACAATCCAGTGTAATTGAGTTCATATTGTATTTGCGTCCTTGGTCCAAATATGTAAAATAAGAACAAATATTTATTAAATCTTTGTCATGCAGTATTATATTAAGCTTTACTGAGTTTTTGGATGAAGGAATAATTTTAAATAAACTATTAACTTGCCCATAGTCATTAACTCCTAAGTGGTAGTTGTTATATTACAACTTACCCTCCTGACTACTTTAATAGCGAAAATGTATTCCAATAGCTACTCCGAACTCCCCTTTTGGAAATTTTAATATATAGCTACTAATTTTACAAGTTGGGTGGAAATTTACAGGAAAATATAAGCACTTGAATGTTTCATTAATTGTCACTGGTACCATTTCAACAATCCAGGCTCAATTTTGTATAACAAAATTAGCTTAATAGTAACATATAGTATAATAATTATGATTTTTTTTGCTACAAATACTAAAATCAAGAGCATCAAAGTTTTCACATAAAATATGCATTAAAAATTGTCTTGATTTGTAAGTGGAATTTTAAAATATGAATGTCTATTTAGCTTAGCCTTGGGTAACACCTTTGTATTAGTCAAAATTGCATTTTCTCACAAATGGGCCTTTCTAGGCACTAGTATTGGTATCTGAGAGTGTTTTGACATCTTAAATTCAGTTGATATTTATCAGCCTTTGTGATATCAAAATCTTAGTCTTTGGTAGTTCAACTTCTGTGTGGACTTCAGGAAAGTCAAACTGAAGATCAATAGAAAAGGGAAAAGGAGGTAATTAGCTAAAAACAAAGCAAAATAAAACAAATAACAGATGAAGTGAGGGGCAATAGCAATCTTATTAAATGGCCTCTACTAACATGGGTTATGGATCATACTATTTGCCTTTGTGAAATGTATCTGACTTTCTAATTTTATCTATATAATTTTCAAATACAAGGGTAAAAAATATCGTCATGTACAGATAGGGAGGATATTACTATGCAAAATAATTTATTTCTCCTCCTTTCTCTCCAGGTAATTATAATGTTACTAAAATAATGAAGTCAGCACTTTTAAAAATAATATGGAAGAACTGATTACTCAGCAGGGACCTTTACAAGGTTGAGTCGTATGAAGGAAGGCAGATAGAATTCTAAATCCATGTGAAGCGTATTTATCTGCCTTCTTTTTTTCAAGAGAAACTTTGAAAGGCATCCTCTCTTTAACACTCCTTTCCAGTCTTACTCAGTCTTTTTCACCCATGTGCCTTCCATTCTCAGGTTCTGATTTCCCATTTGCTAATGCATTGCTGCCTATTGTTCACTTCTTCCTATGTCAGGCAGTTGTAGAGTCCAGACCCTGGAGTAGAACAGAGCTGCTTGGATTCCCAGATTCACCATTCACTCATTGTGTGCCTTCGGCCAATTTACTCCATCTCTCTAATGCCTCAATTCACCCAATAGAAATCAAAATAGAACTTCTAATCTATGGAGTTATTTGAAAAATTAGGTCAGTTAATGCATGAAAGCTATCAAAAGCTATTATCAAAGTATTAGTTTGTTGGTAAGCACTCAATACATGTCAACTATTAAGATCATCTTTATTATCACCGTGATACCTTTTTTCATTTTCTTACATTACTTGACAGCTTATGCTATGTTGCTCCACACAAAGCTCTCACACAATAAAAAAATATATATATTAACTAGTTTCCCTACAGTTCATACAGGTCTGAAGAGGACTACATTTGGGGAGCAGTGGAGAAAGGAGAAAAAAAAAATCTATCCCACTCTTTTCCTACCTCCCCTAGTCCTAAACCATTTGCAAATAGCCAGAGTTCACCTACAAAGGGTTCACCTACAAATGAATCCACAACTTACCTAGAGCTACGCATTGCTATGGGTATGAATGGGAAGCTATGATTCTTCCATATTTTCTAGCAAGAGCTTTTCATCTAATATAGTTAGTGGACATAGCAAAATATTTTCTTTCAATAGTCTTGACATAAATATAACTCTTGTTGGAAGTCAAGAGAGGCAGAACAATATCAGACAATATCAGATCTAAAATACTGCACTGTCAGTCCGTTCCCTGACACAAAATGAAGATTCTCAGCTTCTTTACAGATGGCTCAAAAAGTCTCTTCAAATCAAAAGCTAAATCCACAAGGATAAATGTGTTTGTATAACATCAGGCCTAGAGTCAACTACTCAAACAACAGTGCCTACATTAATCTTTTTACTGGTAGATGTTGCAGCTCATGCACAAGTAAAAACATAAAGCATTCCAAGAAGCATCATATGGAATGGTAGTTGGCATATTTACCAGCTGATTCTCAGAGTCATCCAGGCACAATCGACTATAGCAAGAATGTATCAGCAATAAAGGATCTTATAATGTGAAAGCATTCCGATGTATTCACAGTCTTTTCCATATCCAAGAAAAGGAAAGCTTAACGGTTTTCTAGAAATCCTAGCCTTTAGAAAGATGTATCTTTTCTACCTGCTTAGGGCAAGAATTTCCACTCTCAAGGACTAAGTATAGATAATGGAGTTCTTTGGTCATAAGCTTTGCTCTACTGTTCTCAGACTGTATTGCAATGATTACAGTAAAGTTTTCAGATGTGGTGAGAGGAACTCATTAGTTTCTACAATGGATTTCTAAGACCCAATTATGACCTTCATTTTAGATTTTTTATTTTCCAAATGGCATTTAAAAAATATTTTTGAAGAAGAAAAAGAGAGGTTATTTCATGGTATAATGCACTAAATAATTACCTGAGGTAGTACTTGCCATATGATGTGATATACTGCTGTGGAATGTAGAATTAAACTGTTAGAGGAAGGGCTTGAAAACGCATTCGTAAGAAGTACATTTAAACGTCATTCTGCCCTGCTTAGGGCTTGGTGTAATGCACACTTATCACAAACCCAGTGCTTAAAATCTAGTAAAAACAATTTCCTATATGCTGTTTCCCTCTCTCCCTTATCCATTTAATATCCAGGCCAGCATAATGGGCCTCTGACTGCTTGTGGCTTGGCAGGTAGGCATTTCCAGCAGTTACTCCATAAATTGATTTCACTTAAGGGCAAAAAATAGGTTTAGTTCTTAAAAAGAACATAATTGACTTAGCTTTTTACAGAATTGTAATTACTTCAGCTAGCTTTAGAACTTAAATTTCTCAAAGTATCTGAAATGGAAAAGGCAATTCCTAACTCATTAGGCTTGAATTAGGATCTTGAATCAAGCAGAGAGCACAAACAACCATGATTCTGGAATGATCAGATTGGACCCTGTGAGGCACATCTAACTGTGGTGATGTGGAAACAGATAATAGAAATAGAAGCTTTCCTTAAAAGAAAAACTCAAAAAAATCTTCAGTTGGCCTTAAAAGGCACAGCCATTTATAACTCACTATGGAAAAACTGGGTCATTTGGATGGTAGAGTTAATCTGTATTTCAGAGCCAGATTTAAGGAGAAAGCTAAGTCTACTATTTTATCCTGAAGTTTTGAATTCATTGTTAATGATCTGTCCAGCCTCATTCCATCCTTCTGAGACTTTTGGCAATTTGGCCCCATTGCTCTGCCTTCCAAATCCTGGAATGGTGGCTTCAAATAATTTGACCCTGATAGGTGTTTGTGGATTCAGCTTTGTATTTTAGGTCTGGAATTTATAGGCTTAGTTTTTCACCATGATTCAGTCCCTAATTAATGCTTCTTTTAAAAATAGAGTTGCTTTACTCCAGTAAATCACAGTACAGAAATTAGAGACCATGAACACGTTTGCATGAGTGGACAAAGGGGCTTCATAGGCATGTGTAATTGTACCGGGCCTCACTCTAAGAAGGGCCCCATGCTTATTTTAAGGCTCTACTGTTGCCACGTTAAATGTCTTAATCATTTTTTTTTTAAAGATTTTCTTTATTTATTTGACAGAGAGAGAAAGACACAGCGAGTGAGAGGGAACACAAGCAGGGGGAGTGGGAGAGGGAGAAGCAGGCTTCCCGCTGAGCAGGGAGTCCGATGTGGGGCTCGATCCCAGGACCCTGGGATCATGACCTGAGCCGAAGGCAGACGCTTAACGACTGAGCCACCCAGGCGCCCCGTCTTAATCATTTTTTAACAAGAGGTCTGACGTTTTATTTTATAATGGGCTCCACAAATTACGTCGCAAGTCCTGTGAATGGGCAAGAAACTTTGCAATTAGAGACAGATATGATTTTGAATACTGGCTTTGCCTTTTATTACTTATATGAAATTTTGTAAATTAGATGTAGAATTAAGTATTGGATCTAGAAACAGAATGACTAGTTTTAAATCTCAGTTTTACTAATTCTGGCATTGTGACTTCGGGCAAGTTACCAAAACCTCTGGAGCCTTAGTTCCTTCTCTGTTAAATAAGGTCAATAAAAATATTACTAGGAGAAAATTAATATAAAATTCTTAGGATAATACCTGGCATAGAGTGCTTAATGTTAACTATTATTACAATACCTTGGTTTCCTCATCTGTAAAAAGGAAGAAATGATACCTACATACATGTTTGTTGTTAAATGGTGCGCACCCACCATTTAGCATAGATTTTAATTTATAGTGTCCATGTAATAAATCTAATGCATTTATTTTTCCCCAAAAGAGGATATCTTTAGTGCCCAATTCTAGATAATTTTTTTAGTCAATATTAAATGTTGATTTGGGATACCTATAACTATCCCTCAGTATATATAGAAACTATTGAAAAGAATTATAGGTGTTGAAAAGCCTTTTTTTTTTTTTTTGCTTGAAATCAGTGCGTTATTCTTTTTCTTCAAGATTTTATTTAAATTCAAGTTAGTTAATATATATTGTAGTATTAGTTTGAAGACTTTTAAAAACAGATTAAAATTACAATTCATGTGTATAATGAGAATAAATTATTTTAATATGAAATAAAACCTAATATATGTTAAATATTATATACATAAAATTCATCTTACTGATTTCAGCAGCTATAACAGTAAGATTGTGCCATTGAGATAGTTCACGGTCAAGTGGCTTTGATGTATAAAGGGATCCATTTCCAGAATGTATGTTAAAAATCCTGTCAAGGTCAGTATGGCGATCCAAGGAAAATCTGAACATAGAAAGCAAAGAAAAATACATGGAAATATTATTGGTTTGTAGGAGAAAATGGTGTAATGCAAACACACACACAGAGTAACATGTAATAATTTCGTAAGAGTACTTATTACTGATGTAGAATGAAAACTGTTTCATTGATTTATCACGCACACATGCACACACACATCAGGAACTGCCCCCCACACACACACCCGCCATCTCTACCTTCCTCCTCTTCCCAAGGCATGAGCTGGTACTTTGTTCAGCTTTCAAAATGATGGCCTTCTGAATATTTGTTTTATTAAATCACTATCTATTGCCATATCAACTGACTGGGAAGTATTTTTTTGTTCCACAAAGTAGTTGGCATTACAGATGGTTGCATTACCAACTGACCTTACCTAGGAGTTGAAAATTCTGTTAAGGAATTACTGTAAGGATCAAATACAAAAAAGCATTCCCAGAAGCAAAGTCTTTTTCATAGTGATGAAATTGGAGCCAACATTAGTTTCAACAGATGAGTAGGTTATCAATCTATGATGATGTTTAGTAACTTCATGGTATAATACCCATGTAGCTTCAGTTTTTAACCATATGTATCATTAAAAAAAATATATACATTTTAACTAAAGATGTTTTAAAAACAGAAAATTTGGGGTAGGAGTTTTCACACATTTTTACCAAGTCAAGTCTCAGAAAACAAATAAAAAATAAAAATAAATAAAGTCTTAGCATATGTATAAGAAACCAACTATGCTGCAAATTGATTAAAGACATTGTGTTGAGTGTCATTCAAAAGCCTAACACCAAGTTTATCAATCAGATTGTTATAGTTGGGACAAATCCCATTATTTGGGAGATTGTCAGGCAAGGTTTAAGATAGTTATATCCTTCATCAGTTCCTGCCACTTCACAATCCTAGTGGCTTACAAATGCTTTATAGTCCTTGAGTTAGCAAGCATAATCCTCAAGTTATATTTAATGCTCCATATTAAAAAAATAAACAAAGCAAAACAAAGATGACAAATCCAGGAGTAGCATTCAGTAATGGCATATCTTTTCCTAAGCCACAACTGTCACTTATTTTTAGGAAAACTTTATGAAATGCTATTTTTAAATTGTAGTTTGTGAGTCATAATAAAAAATAATTTTTAAAGTGCCATAAAACTCTTCTCTTTTAATGTTCCAAACCTGTATGATATTTCCAAAAATCAATTGAAACTTACAGTCCTTATTCTGGGTTTTGAATAAATTGCATTAGAAGAACAACTTAAGCCATCAATACAGCTAATGTGATTTTACTTTGGAGGACTGCTTATTTGGGGTTTTTATTTTAAATCAGTTCTAACTGGAACAGACCACTATTTAACAAATCTCCTTAATAAGCTCTAGCCCTCTCTATTAATACAATATGAATTCAGTTTTGCATTCAAACTGCATGTCTTATCATTCACACATAAGTTTGCAAAACACTGAATCTCTATATCTGGAATAATTCACAAATTCTCTCTCAAGTTGACAAAATTGTTTTACTACTGAAAGACTCAACATAAATTTACCTCCTCTTTTGAGTGTCTCATGATTACCTAAAGTAGAAGCTTATTTGTCTCCTTCTGTCCCAAAGTATCTTTTACCACTCATCTCTAAATGTAGTATCAAAATGTATCATTTACCACATTGTATTAGGAATTCAACATCAAAATGTGAGTTACATTTCAAACAGAAAATCAAACATGAAAAAACCAAGCATCATTCTTGAAGTATAGTAAGCACTCAATGAATATTATTTCTCATACCGAATCTTCTTCCCTAACAGACTGAGAACTTCTTGAGAAATATGTTAATATCTGATATGGTGATGCACAAATATTTATTAAATGAAAAAAAGAATAACTGAATTCTTTGGTATTTTGGCAAATAAGTTTTCTTATTTCTATAGAAATATGACGTGAATTTGCAATATGTAAATCAATATAAAGCATTATTGTCCTTGCCAAATCATTTTATGTGTGTTTTGTCTTATTTCTTATAATTTAGTTTAAAAACTAATGTCAAAATTTAGAGGATTTTGCAAAATTATCTTAAAGATACAGAGAGATCCTGGTTCTTTTTCAAACATGATATAATTATATTTTCTAATTCTCTATTGGCAAATTACGTGTGCTAATTTTTGTTTTCCTTTTTAAGATCATTTCCAGAACAAAGTAAATCCCTTTGATTATTGCATTAACATCCATAATATGACTTAAACAATTTATAATATGCCCAGTATTATATTATATTATATTATATTATATTATATTATATTATATTATCTATCCCATAAATACATTGCATTAGTAAAGCTGTTTTATCCCTGATTATATATATATATATATAAAACCTGTAGTTCTATCATTATTATTATCCAAAAATATTCAATTGCATTTTATGCATCAAGTTAGCATAAATTCAATTATATTACAACCTTTATGACATAGACTTTGTCATTAATAAGCATTAATTCTGTTACCATATAGTATAGATAAATGGATTCTTTCCTTAGACTTGCATTCTGATTAAATATTTCATTTTTGTTTCAAAATCCAGACATATTTTGACATATAATAACCATCAGTCTGTATGAGGATGCAAAATCTATTTCTTTGTGAGGAGAATATCTTTATATAGCCACTTTATAACACCACTGGATTTAAGTTGAACTCTTTTTTTTAAAAAATATTATATTTAATTTAAAAAAGACCACTTTAAAACCAGGAATACAGCACATAGCCTGTTACAGTTACTTAGGAGCTATGCCAGGAAAATGCTTGGAAAGTATTGAATGGGTAAAATTAAACATGTATATTGGTTATATAAAAGTTTCAAAGGAAAAAAAAATATCTGAGCAATACAGCAATTTCAATGAAGACAAATGGACTGGGGAAGAGGCAATTATGGGGAAGTCATGCTGGCAGCTGGGAGCTGTACATGATTACCATATATGTAACCTGTGATGCTCTATGTGAATATAAGAAAATATTTAGGCAATTTGAAGCAACATGGATGGACCTAGAGAGTATAATGCTAAGCGAAGTAAGTCAATCAGAGAAAGATAAATACCATATGATTTCACTCATATGTGGAATTTAAGACACAAAACAAATGGACAAAAAAAGAAGAGAGAGAGACAAACCAAAAACAGACTCTAAACTATAGAGAACAAACAGATGGTTACCAGAGGGGAGGTGGGTGGGGAATGGGTCAAACAGGTGATTGAGATTGAAAGTACACTTATCTTGATGAGCACTGAGTAATAGATGGAACGGTTGGGTCACTATATTGTACATCAGAAATATATAACACTGTATGTTAACTACACTGGAACTAAAAGAAACATAAAAGCAAAAAAGAAAGTATTTAGATAAAATTAAATAAATCAAATGCTAATTTTAATATATATGAAATATGACTTCACTTGAAGATGTGGCAGAACCTATAGCACTTTTAACTTTAACTTGAGTTAGAGTCACATGGCATACAAAATTAGAGATCCTCTACATTCTGCTGTTGTATTCTTGGGAATCAGAAAAAAGTGTGCTTGGGGGCACCTGGGTGGCTCATTCGTTAAGCGTCTGCCTTCGGCTCAGTCATGGTCCCAGGGTCCTGGGATCGAGCCCCACATCCGGCTCCCTGCTCGGCAGGAAGCCTGCTTCTCCCTCTCCCACTCCCCCTGCTTGTGTTCCCTCTCTCTCTGTCAAATAAATAAATAAAATCTTTAAAAAAAAAAAAAAGAAAAAAGTGTGCTTGGAAATTGTTAACCATCATTTAAACCCTTACTTGACTGGTCCATGTGGAACAAGGGGAAGACAAAATTAACCTGTAGAGAATAGGGAAACGAATGAAATCCAAAACACATGATGTACTAACAGTTTAAAATGAACAGTCATTTTGATGGTCAATATTATATACAGATTATCTGTATTTCTTTAAAATGATAGACCAAATGTCAATAAAAACTTTTGAGTCTTTCTCATTTGTATGTTTATTACATCCCATATATTTTTAGGCTGCCATAAAAAAGCAAAGCAAAAAAAGAAAAAAAAATGGAAATTACTGTGATCTTTCTGGAATGTTCTATTTTTTTAAATATTTTTTGATACAGCCAAAACAAAAACAACAAACAAAAACCTTCCTTCTTTGATGGTAGGAGTATAGGAGAGTTTCTAAAATGTAATATAACTGCATTGTAATATTGCTGTAATTATATTCTTTTAACTGTTACATCTCTCAACTTAACATATCATTTAATAACTGAAAGCACAAATAAAGTGATTCAGTTACATTGTAAATGCACAGCTGACACATTGTCCTTTATCTGTACCCAGGTCAGAACAACAAATACCTAAAAGACAGATGATACAAGCTAGATTTTAGGCTAAAAGGCATGATTTAAACTGGACCAAATGTTGAAGCTGTGCATGCCTTGCCCCAAAACATTCAGAGACAATTTACTTTAAACACCTATGCTCCTCAAATTTATGTACAACTTATGGAAAGACTCATATATTTTAATGTATTAAATGCTATAAATAGAATTTCATGATCTCTATATTTATTTTAATTCCCATTCTTTCATCTGAAACATAGGCATACTTACCTGATGGGGCTAGAAGTAGAATCTGGGTCCCTTGCCATCACAGTACCAATGATCGTCCCCACTTCAATATCTTCATGAACTTCAAACAGGTAAGAGGATCTGCTAAAAATAGGAGGTTCATCCACATCTTCTACAGAGATTTTTACAATTGTTGTATCTTTAAATGGTCCCAGGTAATAAAAACGTGGATCCACATGGGTATTTTCTGCTTCAACCTTCAGAGTGTAAAGTCTTCGACTCTCATAGTCAAGTGGCTGTATAAATAAACAAATCACCAAATTAGAGTGAGGGAAATTGGATTATATGTTCCTTTCAAGTCACAGTGTGATTTTTAAAGCCTGGTTGAGTTCTGTCAGGTTGTTCAGTGTAAATGATTAAAAGTAATAAAAAATAGTAATAAAACCTTTACATATTGGAGAGGGTTCAATTTTTATTTTTTATGTATTCAATAAGTAAAACTTCAGAACATAGGAAAATTAGATTTTGAATCTTGGACAAATTGGAAAGGATATTAAAACCTATCTCATAATGTGGTGACTCGTTATAAAAAATGAGCTGGGAGACTGTGTGTTTACGTGTGCATGTGTGTGGGCTGAGGTGTTGGCGACTGCTTAATGTTTGTAAGCAAAAAATTCAGTTATCTTTTTACATTTATGTTGTGATTATTTCCATTCAGTTTAATGGCAAGGTACTACATAAACTATAAAATTTTGAAGACTAATATAAAACTATCAAACATTGTAGGAAACATTGAAGATAAGGAAAACCTTGAGTAAAAAGAACAGACAAAAACTTTGATAGCAACTTGGTAATTAGGTTACATTATGAAACAAAAAAATGGAACTTAAACATTGACGCGTTGTAACTGTCACAAGTATAAAATCAAGCTCCTCTCCCTCACTCCTCTACGTTCTGCATGGAGCACTGGGTGTTATGCACAAACAATGAATCAGGGAACACTTCATCTAAAACTAATGATGTAATGTATGGGGATTAACATAAGAATAAAAAAAAATAGCTGTAAAAGGTATGTTTTGTTAACAGAAAAAGACATTGTTGATTCAGATTCCTTCAACCTTCCTTTTTTTTTATCTGATAAGCAGTAGATTTTACTTGCATTACTATTACTTTCCAGGCATGAAAAACAACAAAGAAGCTGCTTCCTCCTTTGCTGGTCACTGTCCATTTAAAAACATTTGGTTGCCTACCTTGGCCTTTGCAACTGACACTCTGGAAAGTTTTGTGATTACTCAGTGTTTCAGTGGTTACTTCATGCAATAGAGTTTTTAGCACATTTCAATATGATCTAACTTTTATGGGACCTTAACTTTTACAGGACCTTAATTTTTTCTTATAATGGTGGTACTGACTCTACAATAAAAAAACTAGTTACCTTTAAACTGTATCACTGAGCACATATTAGCAGAAAAGTTTAATTTATATAGCGGAAGGGAAAATGTGAACAATTAAATTATCTTTCAAAATACGCCGTCTCTTTTTATTAGCAGCTCTAATTATTGCTTCATACATCTGGATAGATGGCATGCTACTTTTTATGCCTCCAACTGGGATGATATATTGCCATTATTAGCTATTAACTGCTTTTTCTTAAGAAAACAATGTTATTATGGGGCGGGGGGCTTTTATTCACAAGGCTCAGAAATGGAGTCACACATCTATTAATTTGCCTTTTAAATTTTGTAAGAACTCAGGTTTCACGTTTCAATCAACAAAAGCACTTGGTCAAAATGTTCAAGGAGAACTTTGGCTTTATGTTTCTCATACTTGTGCACAATATAAATCACATTTGGACTGATAGTGACGTCTCCTAATGGATAATGCGTGAGGGGATAGCACATAATGAAATCTCTATTTGCTAAATGGGCAGGTGCTTATTTAAACTGATGTTGTGCACCTTTTTCACAGTTATGATGCCTTCCTGTGTGTCCTTCTCAGTTATGATGTCAAACATATCAGTCCCATCACCATCAATAATTCGGTATTCTACTTCTGCATTTTTCCCTGTGTCAGCATCAGTTGCTTTTACGCTCCCAATGGCTGTGCCAATTGGGGAAGACTCGAGAACTCGAAGGTGGATGGTGTCTGCAAAATATATAGAAGAGGGGGAGAGAGAGAGAGAGAGTTTCTCAATAGAATATTCAAAGGTAAATTGTATATGAGAAAACATTATAAATCTTAAACTCTACATCAATGTTGACTGATTAATGAGTTGAATACACATGGTATGGATAACACGAAATTAAGGTCTAGGAATGGAAAATGTGGCATTTGGGAGGCTTGGGTCTGTGCATATTACAAATACTGAGTACCAATCTCTAAGAGTGTTAAGAATTGTGGTTTGAAAATGAGCACATTGTCTTTTCTTGCATTTGCACAAATAACTAGAGATCAGCTTTGAGTGCAGAGAGGTACCTGTGTTTGCTTATACAATCACAACAAATCCCAGAATATACAGTGAATATTTATATTTAATTATTTTCCCTTTGTTGTATTTAGTTATTTACTACTCTTAGGTTATTTGAGCTAAAGGACAGAACATTACGAAATTCCATGAAATCAGCTGTAGTGGGGAGGAATCCTATTTATCTTTGTGACAGGAGAAACAAAGTATAGTCTGTAGGAGAAATACAAAGAGGCCCTTCAGAGTGTCACTGTGAAAACACTCAATTCTGACAAACTCCTCTCTATTCCACAGCAAAACAAGACTTTAGCTAAGCTCCTAGTGCACCTAGATGAGCTTTCAGTGGGAACAATCTCTACTGCTAATGGGATTTATGTTCTAGCTCCTGATCATAAACTACATATTACTGACAGACTAATCGACCTGAAGCACACTTCTGATTATAGCCCCTTCATGCTCATAAACCCTAAGTAATTCTCCTTAAAATACACAATAAAGCCCAGACCTCTTAGCTAATCATGTTCTTGCCTGAGTATATCTTTCCCAGTGTATTTTCCTTTAGTCACTTCTATGAAAGATTTGCACCAAACTGGACTTTTCAAAGTTTTCTTGTCGAAGTTCAATTTCCTAAATCTCTCTCTCTGTTTCTCACATGACATTCCCCCTCACATAAGATCCCCCCCCCCACTATCCTCTTGTAATCACAATGCAATTTACCGAATCTGAGAAAATGGCACTGTTACAGTGTTACAGTAAGTGTTTGGGGGCTATGCTCCTCAAATTTCATATATTGATGCCCGAACCCCCATTCAGTACCACAGAATGTGACTGCTTTAGGAGACAGGGTCTTTAAAGAAGTAATTGAGGGAATTAAGGTAAAACGGGATCATTAGGGTGGGCTCTAATCCAATATGGCTGGTGTCCTTAAAAGAAAAGGAAATCTGGACACAGGCAGAGAGTGGAGACCATGTGAAGACCCAGGGAGAAGACAGCCATCTAGAAGCCAAGCAGAGGCCTCAGAAGAAACCAACCCTGCTGATCTTGAACCTCAATCTTAGACTTTTAGCTTCCAAATCTGTGAGAAAACAAACTTCTGTTGTTTAAGCCACCCAATTATAGCAGCCCTAACAACCTAACACAGGTACCTCTATCTGTTCAGTTTGGGAAGTCGTTTCCTAGGAGACATCAGTAAGACTCGGCTTCCACTACACCCCAGGTAATCGCGAGCCTGTTCTTTTTGTTTGTTTGTTTTTACATTTTCCTCTCCATCTATTTTTGGTAACACACTATTGAGAGGAACTCTCGACTCATTCCTTGGCTACTGTCCTGTTGGCTCTCTACCTTTGCTGTTTCTTCTAGAAATCCCTGTCCCTGAATATTCAGATGGCTTTCACTCACTTTCTTCAGATGACTGCTCAGTTGTGACCTTCTCATAAGCTTTCATCAATAGCCTTACTGAAAATAACCTTATTGAAAATACCACTCCCAGTCATTCTTCATATTACTTGCAATAGCTAGTCATTATATTATTTACTTATTTATTCATACGTACCATGAAGATGTAATGCGAAACAGGGACTTTGTATTTTTCCGCCATTGTTTTCTCATTCTGTTTCTTTGAATGTAGTAGCCACCATATACTGATTTGTGTATTGGATAAATGAGAAACTTTCTAATTTGTCTACCAGCAACTATACTTAACTAAATCCAGTCAAATCTCAGATAATCTCATTATACACTGCAGCCATAGTATCCTTTTGAAAACAATGCTCTTATGGATAATTATTCAGAGCTTCAAATTTCTTTGATTGGTCCCATTATACTTAAAATAAAACATACATAAGCTGCTTCTCCATAAATTGGCTTCTCTGTCTTGTCATCCTTTCTCTTAATTAATACTCTCTATGACACTGTTTTTTTTTTTTTTTTTTAGGTTTAGGTTTTTCCAGTATGCTTTTCTTAGTTTGATTTTCCACACAACTCTTTGCCTGGCAACCTCTGACTCTTCCTTTTGAAAATATCTGTTTCACAATATTTCTATCACAGAATATCACCAACTCAACCTATTTACTGCAAGAAGATTCTTTAAAAAATTAAATTTTATAGAAGCAGCACCTTGATAAATTGATATATTATACTGTATCAGAAATAGCTTTTCTAAAATACAAAAATAATATCACTGCTCTACTGAAAGCACTTATTATTGATATTAGGATAGATTTTTTAAATTTCATTATTTACTTTATAACATCTATAAAAGTTGCTTTCTGTTAAAATCTTCAATACCACGATTATCTATTCTCAGATCTAGAGTATATGTGAAATATAGCCATAATAATGCTTTTTTTTAATTAATGATTATTTAACTAGACCAAGAATATGTAATATTTAAAAATAATATGAATGATTTGATATGAAATCTGCACAATCTAGAGAATACAGATTTTTTTGAAGCGGGCATGAACCATTGAATCCCATGAACGATTTGATCAAAAATTAAATTATTAGACATGTTTGAATAAATTTTAACAAATCAATATCAACTAAATTCTCTGACCATGCTACAATTAAGGCAGAGGTTAGTATGAAAAAGATCACTCCAAAATACTCATATTCTTGAAAAGTTAAAAGAAAATTAGAAGTAATTCCTATGTAACTGATGGTTCAAATAATATACAAAAATAGAGACCTAAAAATAATTGAAAAATCCATGAAAAGAAATTAAAACATGGGGCAGAGAAAACAATTCTACTTAGAGAAGGTAATTTACAACTTTATGTGTTTTTATATAAAGAAAAGACAAGCTGAAAATAATAAGTTAAGCATTAAAAGAACCTAGAAAAGAAAGACATAATAACCATCAAAGAAAAAGAAGGAAATAATTAAGATAAAAACAGAAAGTAATCAAGTTGAAAACAAATATAGGAACAAGAGAATAAAAATGCCAAAAGTGAGTTTTTTTAAAGGACTCACAAAATAAATATATATGACAAAATGGTTCATGAAAAGGGGAGAAAGGGCAAAAAGTATTAGGAATTATTTTAAAGAAATGCAACTACAGAAAATGTAGTGATTTAAAAGATTAGAGAGTATTACTTATATGTCAATAAAATTAACTAGCTAGACTGGTAAATTCCTAAAGATAATTAAAAATATACCAAAGGTACTAAAGAGGAAATAAAGTATGATTTAAAATATGATTTAATACATGATTAAATATCATTTAATATATGATATATGATTTAAAATGATCTAGCCTCTTAAATACTAGCAGCTCAAATATTTTTTAAAGATTTTACTTACTTATTTTTGAGAGAGAGAGAGAGTGTGTGCACATGAGTGGGGGGGGCAGAGGAAGAAGCAGATTCCCTGCTGAGCATGGAGCCCGATGCAGGACTAGATCCCAGGACCCTGGGATCATGACCTGAGGCAAAGCCAGGCGATTAACTGACTGAGTCACCCAGGTGCCCTTAGCAGCTCAAATATTTTTAAGGAACATTCGTGAAGCAGAAAATTCCTTATTTTCTCTTCTTATGTAAAGTCTTCTGGAGAAAAGAAAAATGAGGACTCTTTCCCAGCTCATTATGAGATCAGTAAAACCCTGATACCAAAACCAGACAAGAGTCCAGTGGTTATATAGAGTGGACTAAAATTCAAGATCCACCACACCTAACTGTATAACATTTAGCAAGTTCATTTTTAATTTTTGGTTCACCATCATTTACATTAAATTTAGTTTTGGGAAATGGTATTTTAATCACTTTACTATTAACTAATTCCAATTTGGATTTCACCAGCTTTTCCAAAGCTTTTTCAGAGAGGGGCGCCTCGGTGGCTCAGTCGTTGAGTGTCTGACTCTTGATTTAGGCTCAGGTCATGATCTCAGGGTCAGGAGGTCAATCCCGTTTGGCTCTGTGCTCAGTGTGGAGTCTGCTTGAGATTCTTTTTCTCTCTCTCTCTCCCTCTCCCCAACCCCCTCAAAAAATAAAGGAGGAAGGAAGGAAGGAAGGAAGGAAAGAAGCCTTTTCAGAGATCCTACTTTGCATTTGGTTGTCATGTTTTTTACTCCCTCCAATCTGTGAGAATTTTTCAGTCTTTCCTTATCTTCTTTTAAGGAATACTAGTCAGTTACTCTGTAAAATGTCTTTTAGTCTGGGTCTGTTTTATATTTTCTCATGATTAGATGGAGGTTTTATATTTTTGTCAACAGTACACAGAAGTGATCTGTTCTCAGTGTATCATATACCAGAGACCATATGATGTCTTGATCACTTGGTTAAGAAGGTATTTCTGTCAGTTTCCTCCCTTATTAATAAGGAATTTTTAAAATAATTAATGCATATCTTGGGAGATATACTTTAAGATTATGCAAATATTCTGTTTCTCCTCAAAAATCTGCCCATGAATTTTAGTACTGATCAGTGATCTTAATAATTAATACTGTGGTTTTCTAATGATGATTTTCTATTTTGTTTCTTCTTTTCACATTTACTACTTGGAATTCTCCTGAAAGGAAAAATTGCTCTTTCTCCCCATTTATTTATTTATATTAGTATATGTTTTTAGCAGTATGGACTCAAGGACATTTTATTTTATACTATGTCCTATATATCGTTTTGTGCAATTTCTTACAGGTTTTGTCAGTGGGTGATCTTTTAGGTTGTTTATAATGCCTTTTCAA